AATACGTAATATTATAATGAAGTTATAAAAATTCATAAAATAACAAAGATAATATGAAGTTTAACAAAACACAGTAATAAAAAGTAATAAAATACAAACCATTATATACATAAGTTTGCAAAGAACTCATGGAAATATTCGTAAATAGTAAAACATAATACAATAAAGTATAATATATCAGCAATAAATTGATAAAAACTCAAAAATAGATAAAGATGTTTTCAATTGAAAAGATAATTTCTTTAATTTTGGTTTTGAATGAGGAGTAGTTTAGTTTGATTGAAAAGTCAAAATTAGGTAAAACTATTTTGTTCCAAAGAAGAGGTCCACGATAGGACATACAAAATTCGTCGTATTTAGTTTTGCAAAAAGGAGCATTAAGATTGTTGTCAATTCGTAAATTATATTTGTGTTTCGGTTTTAAAGAATAAAGATATTGAAATACCTGTAGAGATAAATTTTCTTTACACTTGAACATAAAGCATAAAATATTTAAAATATTAAGTTGATAAACATTCAAAGCTTTCATATCTTTTACAAAAACCTTTAAAAAATGAACAACAGTTCAAGAGTTATTTTTGTTTACTTTATTCTTTAGAACTTACTTTTGCGTTTAATGTCACGATTTAAACTGCCATTATAAACAACAATCATGACATTGTTGGTTAACGGGAATTTAATATATCCATACATTAAGGGGGAAACTCCCCCTAAAATCATCAAAAAAAACAAAAATTTAGTATGACCGTTTTTAGACATGAAAATTACTATAGATTTCATTTATGTAATTTGTTTTTCATAAAAATCATTCTAAAGTGCAGAAATTTAAGATTTTTTAATGGTGAGTTGATGTTTCGATATATCGAAAGTGTAATTTTTTTGTCGTATTTGAAAAAAAAAAAAAAAAAAAGCTGATGTAAAATGCCTAACTTGGGTTAGGATGCTTCATTCTATTATACTTCTTGTTCAGCTAAGCAAAAGTAAGCGAGATTAGGAGACAAAACGCACTCATACTAATTTAATTTAATTTAACAAGAATGCCAAAAAGATGTAGAGTAAAACGTCGAACTAATCTTGCTAGGAAAAGGTGTAGATCTTTTCCAGTTAAAAAATCATTAAATTATAAAGAAGAAGTTGTTGTTGATAGTGTAAATAAAGAATCTACTCCAATTGTAAATATTTTAATTAATAATGAGACTGTGGTTCACTGTCTGAGTGATGAAAATAAAAATGACGCTTCTGATAATATCGTAAATATTCCAGCATCACATTCAAAAATACGACAAATTAATGTAGTTGAAACTTCTACTCTACTGTCTGGATATAGAATTATAGATATAGAAGTGTTATCTGTTATTTTTAAAGAACTCATTTGTCCAATGTGCTTCAATGAAGACTCTCTTGTGTTGTCTGACAACTTAAAAGATCGACATGGGCTTGCCTCTTTTTTAGTTTTAAAATGTTCAGATTGTTTATTTCGTAAAAAGTTTTGTACTTCAAAAAAAAAGTAGTTAGCAGGATACGAGATAAATAAACGAGCTATTTACACAATACGGTTGTTGGGTCATGGTCACGCAGGACTTGAAAAATTCACTTCTTTAATGAATATTCCTCCACCAATGACTAGAAATAACTACGACAAGCTTGCTAAAACAATCTCTAAAGTTGTGAAAAAAGTAGCAATAGAAACTATGTGTGATGCTGCTGCGGAAATCAGACACAATTCGAATACTGATATTGTTGATACTGGTGTTTCATGTGATGGGACATGGCAACGACGAGGTTTTTCATCATATAATGGCGTAATGACTGCAATATCTATTGATAGTGGAAAGATATTGGACGTAGAACCAATGAGTAGAATTTGTAAAGCTTGTATTTTAATAGAACCAAAAAAGAAAAGTGAACCTTTACATTTTGCTGAGGACATAAGTGTGCATATGACTACAAAGGGTCTGCTGGGGGTATGGAGCCAATTGGTATGAAAAAATTATTTGAACGTTCTATTACAGAACGCAAACTTCGCTATGTAAACTATTTAGGTGATGGGGACAGTATTTAAATGTTATGAATGTCTACCCTGGTTTGGAAGTAAAAAAACTTGAGTTTGTTGGACATTATCAAAAACGTATCGGTACAAGATTAAGAAAGTTGAAGAAAAAAACTAAAAACCTTGGTGGTAGAGGTATATTAACAGATGCGACAATTGATCGGTTGCAAAGTTATTTTGGTATTGCGATCAGAGCTAATGTAGGAGATTTAGCATCTATGAAAGCTGGTACTCTGGCATCGCTTTATCATGTTGCCTCCAATAAGGAGAATAATCTACATTTTCCACATTGCCCAGTAGGAGCTGATAGTTGGTGCAAATATAATTCAGATAAAGCCAATGGAACAAATACTTATAAACCTGGACCAGGTTTACCAACTTCTATTGTTTATAAAATCAAACCAATCTTTGCAGAACTCAGTGCTGACCAACATTTGGAAAAGTACTTACATGGTAAGACACAAAATACTAATGAAAGTTTTAATTGTACTATCTGGGAGCGTTTACCTAAAACGAAATTTGTATCATTTAGTCAATTAGAATTTGGAGTTTATGATGCAGTAGCTAATTTTAACATTGGTCGAAAAGCCTCGATTTTAGTTTATGAATCTTTGGACATAATTCCAGGAGTATATACTCTTAAAGGTTGTAAAAATTTAAACTATAAACGACTGGTACATTCTAAGTACAGAAATATTGATAAAAACAAGTTGCGAAGAAAAATAATTTGTGGCAAAAAACATAACAAAAATGATAAAGAAAAAGAAAAAGAAGGCAAGTTGTATGAAGCAGGAGGTTTCTAATACTTTTTATTAGATATTTTAACTATAGTATGTGTTTTACTTAAAGTTTTAAAGTTTTATGTGCTAATTTTTTTTTCTTTTCGCGTTTTCTCAAAATAGTCTTTTATCACACGCCGGCCGTTCTATCTCAAGAACCGTTTAACCAATTTTGATGAAATTTTCTGGAGTTGTTTTTTTGATTATAAATTGTGGTTTAATACAAACAGTTTTTTAAATTGAGGTTTAGATTTTTTAATTTTTGATATTTTAAATAAAAAATATTTTCACCATCTTTAAATGTGCACACATCGCTCAGATTTTTAGTTACAGGAAAATGTCGCTACTAAAACACCCTTTGACTATTTGTGAAGCATTTGGTAAAAACTTTTTAAGAGATCTTGCATGGTTATTTAGTTTTTACGGCCGGTGTGAATGCATTTTTTGCCCATTTTTATGTGTTTTTTGTGGTAACTATGGCAACCAAAAACCATTTTGTATTTTTTTTCAAAGATTTTGTTTATTCATATTATATTGATGTTTTATATTCTTGATTTTGTTTAAAATGTTTAATACTTATATTTAGGGGGGGGGGGCTTCCCCCTTAAGTCACATAGTTTTTTTAATGTTTTTTTTATAAGTTTCAAAATTTAAAAATGGTTTTAAAACATGACTTTTTCTTAAATTAAAAACAGAATTTTAAAGATTTTTTGAATTAAAATTTTTATATTTAAATTATAAAAAAGTATTCATTTATTTATATTGTTTTTATTCAACATAACTAAATTTGTTCAAAAAAGTTGTGGTTTTACTGTCACAGTACTAGCTAGCTGCAGTTTTGTGACAAATAGTCTTAACGTAACATAAGACCAACATTTATCTCTTTGGCATTGAAAATGTTCGCGTAACTTTTGAAAATCAAAACTTGCGTACTCAAATTATTTTTTGTTTAAAAAACTTTTATTTTTATAACGATCGTTTAATAGTTTCATACGCGGTTTTAGAAACATTTAAACGCGGTGTTTATTAGTCTAAACTTGAAACTGAATTTTTTTAAAAAAGATTAAATGTTTAGTTGATTCTTTCTAGCTTAAAAAGTAGTTTAAATTCTTCCATTGTTTTTTACTATATTTTCTAAATATTATAGTTATCGGTAATTAAAATCACGGTTTAAAACTGCTACTTATGGAGAGAGAGAACAAAACTTTTTACAAAAAAATTGAAAACCATTTAAAAAAAAGTATTTTTAATCAAAATACTTGTTTTGATATTTATTAACATTTTATATAAAACATTTTGATTGATTAAGTAAAATTTAAAGTCAATTAAAACTTAAGTAAAAACGTCAGATGAAATATGAAATTTCGAACTAAAAATCTTCGAAGAAAAATTCTACTAAACCATCGAATTTTTTTATTTTGTTGACGAAGAATTTTTTTATTTTGTTGATCTCTTCAAGAAACAATGGCGAAAACCTTGAAAAGTTATTTTTTTATAAACATAAATTTGTATAAAAGGTTTATAAAAAGTGCAAATCTAATAAAAAAAGTTGTTTTATTCAACCAACTTAAAAACTTATGACTTTATCTTAAATACGATATTATTTAAAAAAGAAATTGATAATAAAATAAAAAAAATTAACATTTTATTTTAATTTGCATATTTAGATTTTTTAATTTAATTCTTAAACATCACAAAACATAAAATAATTAATATAAATAAAATATTAAACAAACATTTATAATTTATTAAAACAAATATTTATTATCAATATTATTTAAAAAATTATATATTAAGAACATAATAATTAAAAACTGAAAATATTATATTAAAAAAACAACAACAATAAATCATGTACCGTAATTTATAATTTTAATTGTATAATATTATTAATAATAATAATATATATGAAAATTTATATACTATAATAATATATTTAATAATTTATATCATAATTATAACTATTAATATATTTGAAAACAAATTATTTATAAAATATTTTAATAGTAAAAAATTAAACTTTTAAATATTAAATCTAATAAACTAGTAAAATTAATTTGTATATTTAAAAACGTATTTATTATAAAATAATACATTAAATATTTCATTAGTTATTTATAGTTATTGTTTTTATTTAATATATTTAATGTATTAAATATTTTATCGTGTTGTAAAGTTTTTTAATTCATCGAGGTTATAAAAATATTCTCCACGGTACTTGATCATAAACTTCTTGACATTCGAACAACGAATCCATTCACAAATTTCTTTAATAAAATCAATGTCGTCGTGAAGACGACATTGATTTTATTAAGACGTCGTAAAGAAGATTTTAAGACGTCGTAAAGAAGATCTAATTCTTTACAAAGATTAATCCACGGAAGAAAATTTTCTTCAAAATCTTTTTTTGTTATTAAATAACCTGAGATCCATATCTCTAACTTTTCAATCTTATCTTTCGGTTTCCATCCTTCGAAATTAATTGGACGAAGAAAGCTGACCTCGCGAACATTAGTTGAACATTGTATTAAAAGATTTTTTTCTTCATCACTTAAAATATTTTTATTAACATGTAACAACGATAACTTTCTTCCAGATTTTACGTAATGATTTATGAAATAATTTTCGCAAGAAGTTAAGTAAGAAGTTTTCCAATCGTGAATCAAAATACACCACTTTCGTTTATCAACAATTGATTTAATTTCATCATTAAATGATGATTGACTTTCATAAAAACATTCAATGAATAAATCATCGTAATCTTTTCTGTCATCACTTTCACTTAGACGATCTAAAATAAGATTAAATATTAATTATAAAAATGAACAAATAATAAAAATAATAATCAAAACTATAACATTATATACATTATAATATTTTACAAATTCATACATATAATTTTTATTAACTAATGATTGAATAAAAAACATACAATTTTTTATTTTTATTAAATAGACTATATTTTATACCATAATATTATATACATAAATTTATATTAAATTAAAATGATATATAAAAATAATAAAAGTGTGAAACCTTTAGATAAAATAATTCATATGAAAAATAAATATATATAAAAATGTAATATAAAATATAATAAAAAAGACAATTTTTTAATTTTGTTAATTTATTATATTTCTAAAACAATATAATTTAAATATAAGTAATAAATTAAACATATTTAAAATAACATAACAAAAATTACAACGGTTGTTCACACACATAAAAGATTCATAATTATGAGACATTTACACATCAAAATCAACATAATTTCATCATTAAAGCTACAAAATGTAATATATATAATATATAAAAACAAGCAACAAACATAAGATAAACCGATTGAATTTAAAAATTACAATAACATCACATCAAACGACATTTTGTTTTAAAAAGTAAAAATTAAATCCATGTAATAATCATTTCAACGCAAACAAGAAAATAATTCACAATTGTTTCATGTAAATCATATTTCTCTGAAACTTTTAGCAAAAGAAACACAGGTTTTTTCTAAAATATTAAACTTAGACGAACGATTAAAAATAAAGGGTTTAAAATGTAATTAAATAATAGCTCAGTATGTTTTAAAATTAGTGTGGCATAGGATCTTACATACCATTATCATACTGCACTATCTTTTTTGCATACTAAAGTATGCCAAACATTTTTAAAGTAAAAAATTTGTAAAAACGATGAATTCTATGCGACGAAAATATATTTTTTGCAGCGTAGAGTTTTTGTGATGTAGGTGATGTCTTAACTAATACTTTATAAAAGAAGAATTTTTTTTAAGGTTCATAAATATGCATTTTTTTTTTTTTTGCACCACTTACATTTTGAAGGCAAGTTGATTTATTTTTCAACATATTTTCTAAATCTTAATTCATAATATTCTAAATCTATTTTCGATTCACCTTTCCATAAAAAAACTCACTCTTTCATACTCAATTATCGTATTTCCAAGTGATTAAATATATAAAAAGTTTGAACATTATAAACACGAATCTATATGCTATATTATATTAAAAAGAATAAGCTTGGGGATAGAAATCAAAATATTATAAAAAATGTTACATTAAATAGAAAGGTTTACACATTTTAGAACTTTAATCTTGTATATATATATATAGTATAATTTAACTAATATATCAACAACAAAAAAATACTTATTATTATCAAATTTACACGAAAAACAGTCGTCGTAAGTTAAGGTTTTGTAACAATATAAATTTTGATTTAAAACATAAACCTTTTTAATAAAAACAAATAAACGAATATAAAACTGAAGAATACTTACTTCCGAATTTTTAAAAGTATTTGTGACCAGTGTGAAGTTATAAACAATGGTAACAGAATAATTTCGTACTTTTTCCAAAAAAAAAAAAAAACGTTTGGTTTTATATACATAAAACTCGATGATCGAACTTTACAAAAATCTTTTCACAAATTCGAACAAAAAATATAAATCAACCGCTTAGTTTTATAGAATTATATCGTAACTATCGCAACCGTTTAATATAAAATGAAAGTATTTGTGAATTCACAAAAAAAAAAAAAAACGTTTAGATCACGTTTAAAGCTTGATAACACGTCGAATAATAAATTGTACATTATTTTATTCAGAAAATAAACTATTAATTCTATTAAGTATAATGATGTGAAATAAATAAAACGAAAAATAAAAGTAATAAAAAAAAAATTAGTTACTGTTATTTTTTCTGACGTTATAAACGTAATTTAAACTTAGCGTAATCTAAATATAACGTAATAATAAACCTAAAAAAAAAAAAAAAAAAAAATAGTGAAACGCAATAAAAAACCGACTGAAAAAACCACAAAAAAATATAGTGAAACGCATGTTTTCTAAACAGAATTTATAATTTGTAAATTAATATTAGTATACATATTATTATATATTAGTATATTATATATTAGTTTGTAAATTAATATCAGTATACATATAAATAAACAATAAACCGAATAAAAATTAAATAATATAACTAATTTTATAAAAAATTTCTCATTATAAAAATGTAACAAGACATTTGTATTGTTACGTTTATATATATAAACTTTATATTATATAATTATATTATATAAACATTTTATTATATAAACTTATATTATTTCAATTATAAACCATATGTTCCACAAAAAAACTTTCTTTTGCTTAATTTTCTTTTTGCTTAGAGACGTTTTTTTTTTGTTAAACTCGTGACAAACAAGAGATTTAAAAAAAAAAAAATTTTGCTTAAAAAGTATAAAAAATTCCACTAACTTTAAAATAATAGTATTTTCTATAAAAGCTTTGATCTTCAAAAAAATAATTAAAATTAATTATTTTTTTGAAGATCAAAGCTTTTATAGAAATATAAAAGCTTTTATAGAAAATTAAAACAATAAAAAATGGATGTATTTATCCCTGTTCGACGGAGCATATACCACAAGAGCAGATCTCCTTGTTTCATTCTACTTAACTTTTTATTTTGACAACAATCATTCAAAAAACAAATCATCTAGTTAGGCTTACAATTCTGTTCAAAAGTATGATTTTGTCTTGCATCCTCTATAAATTCAAGTTGGATTAGAATTTATATCGAAATTAATTCATGGTCCATAAACTGCTTCACTAATTGAATTAATAAACTAACCTTATCCAATAAAAAAACCTTTTGTCTGAGTTGTGAAAAAATAAATAAAATTATTAAATTTTAAACTATTATACAAATTTATTGAAAATAATTTATCTGAACTATGATGTACTTGTGCTATCTTTTGCAAATAATGGATTGTGATCAGATTCAAAACTTTTATTTAAAACACACAAATTGAGATCTGGTCAAGGCAAACACAAGTAAATTTAAAAATAAAAATTTCTTTACAAAGGTATTTATCTCTGCTTGAGAAAAACTACAAATAATAATAGTACTAATAAAAATAATAATTGCTTTACTTTGAAAAGAATCATAGTTTATAAATAATTTCATCAAGTTGTTTTATGGTGCATAAAAAAAAGCCATATAAATTGTAAATGACCAAAAAAGCGTTTTAAAAAAACCTAAAGTAAAAGTAAGCTAACTTAAAAACATCTAAAAAAATCTGTGTTTTGTGATTTTAAAATCAGAATAACTAGAAAATAACTTGGATATTGAGTAATATTTTACACAATAAAAATTATTTATACAATTATCATTACGACAATATCAGAATAAATATATAGCGAAATTAAATCTATTCTCTACTTAGTTAGAATATATTTTAGTAACATTATATTTGTTAGATCAGTAACTTTGTTTTATTTTTATTTTTTATAACTACTACAATTTAACTTTTTTGTAGCTTAGTAAACTGAAATGGTGAGCTTTTAAACTGTGATTAATCTCATCAGTTTTAAATTAAATCTCAAATCAAATTTAGACAAAAGCAGATTTGCTTTTTATTTGAAATTTTTATTTTCTTATGTTTTTATTTTACTGATTGTTAATATTAATTCCATATACATTATTATACCAAATACAATGTAGATTTAAACTGTGATTTAGCTTAAACCTCACCTATTTATGTGAATAGAAATCTAAAATACTATATTAACTATAACAAAATTAAGATGGTGTTAACTTAAACACTAGTAGTCTACTTTGCACTATGCTATTAGATACTGGGATAAAATCTTCTATTTTGCATAATTAAGTTCACCTGGCCACTGTTTTAATTCTAATTTATACAGGTTTGATTGTAAACTACTTTGACTGTAAACTAGATAACTTAAGAACACCAAAATTAGTTTGTTTTAGCAGCAAAGAAGTACAAAATAATTAATTTTCTGATTGCCTAATGAAAACGAATATTTACTTTAGTTAGTTTTTGGATCAAAGATGAACTATTTAAGTTAAGTGTATCCTATCAACTACAAAGACAAATTTATACCATTTTCAAAAGTGTAATTATAGATCTGTCACAAAAGGAATTAAAATCTGGCTTACTTTGTGACATCATTTTTCAGATCTGCAAACACATTAGCAAAGAAAATTTAAAAAAGATATTTTTGACCAAGACCTGGCTTATTTCATTTACTAGATAATGAAAGCAGATGCTGAATAACAGAATATCAAAATTCAGCTTATAAAAAAGGGAAGCAAAACCGCCTACAAAAAGCAAAGAAGATGGACTGACACACCTAGATTTATTCCAGATCGATTAATGAATTAAAGAAATAATTCCAAACAAAATTCCAAAGGGTTTCAAAGATATGATTATTCAAACTTTGTCCTGAATAGTTTAGTTAAAGTTGTTACAAAGAACTAGAAAGGTTTTTTCATAACAAAAAAAAAAAAAAAAAACATGGTCAAATTAACTTAAATTTGTAAGTTATAAAACATTTATGAAACATAAACAATTATAAAAATGAAAGGCAAAATAAGGTAGTACTTGTAAGTGCTTAATACACAAAAGTTGCTGTTTAATAAATTTTGGAAAATTTTCCTACTCAACCTAAATATTTATTAGGACCTCCTCCCCCTATTTATTAATTTTTACTCAGGGATGTGAAGTTCCAAAAAGGACTGCGGTTTGAAATACACAAAAAGATTACTTCTTCCTAGTTTTTAGTATCCAGGAGCTCTAAAAATAAAAAAAAGCATATGGCCTACTAATAAAGGAAAATTTAAAAGTTTTTGAACATTGAATCCTTAGGCATAATGGCAGCAAAGACTCTGGGACTTTGAGGTCAAAAACAATAAGTTTCAATTCATTAAATTTTATGAATTTTTTTCTTTTTTATGGATCATAAGT